AGGACATTCAAGGGTTTCTGTAGGACCTGCAATCTCAGGGCAGGCAGATTTTGAGTACCTATTTTTATATGTGGTACCAACTTTTTTTTTCTACCAAAATGCTTTATGTCCTGTCACCACTGTGAATGTAACAGACCAAACTAGAAGTGTCATTGCCATGTGTAAAATGTTAGGAGTCAGGAAAATGTATCTGGTTAATGTTCTGGTACAGAGTATAAATAACTGAGAATGATCCGTGGGCTAGAGCTTTATTTACACTCATGCACTGAATGGGCTGGAATTACTTTGTCTCACTTTCTACATTTTTTTTCTCGTCTCTTTGTAGGTTTGTAGTGGAGTATCCAGAGTTGCACAGTCACATCCCTGCTTGCCATTTCTGGGACCAGAGTGAACCAAGACTTTTTGTATGTGAAGTAATTCCTGAAACAGGCTTCCAACCTCCAGACCAAAAGAAAATCGAGACGAAGGGCACAGTATGGTGTTTTTTATTTATCTTGTTTTACATGGAGTTTTCCCTGTCCAAGTAGTAAATCCTTTGTGCTTCATTAAGGATGTAGGTAGTACACATGACTACATGCAAAAATAAGTCATGAACCCTGTGTTTGCTGTCTGTTCTTCAGGCAGTCCCTCTATGACAGCTCTCTGGCTTGGGCCAAGCTTGCATACTGTGAAGAAGAAAAAAAGGGGATTTCTTTAGCTGTGATAGAATTTTGGGAATGACCATAATGCAAGCTTCTATCTGGACTACAGTTTTTCAGGTGACATTATTGGGTGGATGGATAATCTAGAAGTTTGTAACTTAAAAAATTGCTAATTTTTTATCTTCAGTCCACTTTTAGCAGCAAGAATTAACTTGATAGAATAACAGGGACACTACTGTTAAGGTGAACAGAGAAATATGCTCTTCTACCCAGTCCCTCCTATCTTCTACTTTTCTGGAGAGATACTGTGCATTTTTATGGGATTTTCCAAATTATCTGTTATGGTATTTTTTACATTGGAAAAAGAACCCAACATTTTTATTGATCAGAAATTATCTAATCAAAGATTTCTTTCATCATACAAACAGTTCTTCCCTTCTTCCCCACTATTGTGCTTGTAGTGCTCCTTACCACTTTGTTTACACAGAACTGCCTATCCTGCATAAACATTGCATTGATTTGAAACATCCATTTTAAACACAAGTTTTTTGATTTGTGTCTTATTTTAACTAATCTCGTAAAATTAGATATAGAAAGCTCTTTGTGGCTTTTGTTGGTTAAAATGACTTTAGAAGAACCATGAAAAGATCAAAGTAAAAAGGAGAAATGGGATAGGGATAGGGGTGTCTCAAAAGGCCTGGCTAGGATCTTCTAGCAAAGATAAGAACAACTGAACCAAATATTACTCAAGTAAAAAACTTTAAAATGCTTGGCTTCTAAGTAAAGTTGAAAAAAAAAAGATATAAAAGGAATGCAACTTCTTGCCCCTTATTCAACAGAACATTTTACTATCTGCTTATGCCTTAGTAAATGAGAAGTCTGATTAACTTCTGCTGCAAATAAATATTATTTTAACTTGAGTCAGGTCAATACTTAAACTGTTAGAGGAACTATTTTTGCGTGGATGATATATTTCCTGGGAACTCAAGGCAGTCAGTGAGCTGATGAACTTACAATGGGAATAATATAATGTTTTTTAAAAAAACTTAGTTTTTAAGGCCCCTTCCAACCCAAACTATTCAGTGATTCTCTTATTCTGTGATTGTTTCTTTGCCTTGAGCCAAATCTCTCAGAGAGATGCATGAAGCAGCCATCTGTGCCAGGGGCTTCTCTGTTTATGGTGGGTGAGGCTGGTTGCAGAGGCAGAGGTGGAGGTCCCAGTGCAGCAGGACCAGTCCGGAATGCAAGCGAGGCGCTGGCTGCTGGCTGCAGGGAGGAAACGTGTGGCTCTGCCCTCCCAACAGCTGTGTGTCTGAATGTATAGGTCATACTATTGTCAAGAGAAGCTTCTGCCAAGTGAATATGGAAAATAAAAACAAAAAGACGGATATTGCAGCATAAAAATAAAACAGTGTTTCGCTTCCTTTTCCAGATGGATGTTTGGATTATATCATTCTTCAGCACTGAAGAGCATGGCCTTTTGCTGCAGGACAGCTTTCCATTGCCTTCATCCTACCAGGTTCTTCTTGGTGTAGAGGTGCCACATTATTACTTTGCAAAAAAGGTGACGTAATCTCTAAGAATTCTTTCCCTTTGCAGAAATTCAGACTTTCCACTGTACAGGGAACAAATTTAACTAAATTGAGTCTGGGGTATGTAGAGCAATATCAGAGGATGCATCACACATAGAAATGGCATAAAGATAATTCTGATGCAGATGAACTTGACAGAATTGTGGAATTTGTGGCGACATGGCTTTTTATGGGTATTGTAAACTGAATGTGATGTACAAGTGTAGGAGAAACAGGAATTACCAGGTAATGCAATTGAAAAGGGGATGTGGAAAAAATGCTGCTTTATGTAGTCACTCTGCCTATTTCAAGTACAAGAGGGGTGTGTGTGTGTGTGAGATTTATGTGGGCCATAAGATAGGACATTTCATACTGGCTTTGGCAGAATCATCCCACTTCCTTGCAGGAATACCTAAGAGAGCAAGAATAGTCATCTTGCACCATCAACAAGTGCTTGTGTGCTGCAAATGCCAAGAATGCAGGCTCTAACTTCTAAAACTTGATTTCAATCCAAAATTGTTTGCATCTCAGGTAAATAATACCCTACATAATTCCATGCATACTAGCTGAGCTGCAGCCTTTCACCTACAAATTGGTTTCTGGTGAAGTTCTGACCTGAGTTTTCTGGTACTTCTTAGGATGATGATTTGCTCTGTTCCTGTCTTGTAGGGGGAGTGTAACAGAGCCCATTTACTATACTAATGTATTTAGTTTTGTAAAATTGACAGGAAATTAATATTAAGGAGACTTCTAATCCTCATTTGGATCCTCTAATCCCTAGTTTGGGAGCGCTGTTAGACAGGGAGAACATATCTACTTATGTTCAGATTCAGAGCAGCACTTTGCTTCTTTTTTCTTCAAAGCACTGTCTGTTGTCAGTCTTCCTGTGCAGACTGAGCTTTTAGTGTTGTACTGTGTTTTACTTTCCTTTTTCTTTTAAATTGAAAGGTCAAATGTGATATGCTGCATTTTCCAATCTTTCTTTTTAACATTTCTCCATCATGCCTCATGTTATTTTTACTTTGATATTATGTTTCTTCTTTTTTTTTTTTTTACTTTATGGATTGTTGCTGCATTAGTTGTGTTTTCGGAGGGGATATATCTATAAACCTGTAAGTATCTCCATTGCTTTGGTGCTCTTCCTTCATTCTCTGCTCCTCTCTCATTTCCATTTCCTTTGTAGGTGGTTGTCTCTTTATGATGAAGTCACTCATTACATGGATTGTATTCATTTGGGAAACCTAATTTAGTAAAAGAGCATAGTCTGCTTTAAATACAGTAAATCAAGTTGATGCAACAAGCCTTTTTGACCAAGTTTCATTCCAGGGTTTCTCTTTATTCACCGTAATGTCTTTACTGTCCTGGTTCCAGAAATTCCTCAAGTTCTAGTCAAACAGATTTGCACTTTTGATTTCTGTATTTTACTTTACCCAGGACTCCCATTGTTTTATAATATTAGCTTCTGTATACCTTAACATTTAGTTATCTTATGTAACTATACGATTAGGGTAGAGTGTACGTGGACTTTGGCATCCTTCATGACTCAGATATCTTCCTCTGTGCCTGGCTTGGGAAAGTTTCCTTGTTACGCTCCAGACATACCATTTGACACTGAGGATTGAGACTTTATTGGTTTTCTGCATAATTATTGAACTGCTTTGAGTTGCCTTTCAGTGGGTGGTGAAAGTACCCCTGAAGCTTTAGAACTGCCAGTTGTAAAGGGAAGGGTTTGAACCTGAGCTTCTGTATTCATAAGATTTATGTGAAGGGAAGGGTAAAAGAATTTGGTCTGTATAGTTAACTTTCAGAACAGCAGACTAATATTTGAGAAGAGACTAAACTTGGAGAGATGCTTATCTGAAATCTTCAGAAATCTGGGAACTTAACAGGTGCTATTATAATAGTAGTACTATTAATACACATTTATATATATAAAAATAATAATGACTGTAATAAAAGGAGGTTACTTTTCTGTGGTATATTACCAATCTCCCGTGATCACTAACAAGCTGTGATTGTTCACTGCAATATGCTAATCTTTTCTATGATATTCCATATTTTGTGGCATTTTCTAGAAAGTTCTGAAAATTTGCAACTATTGACGCTATTGATTATGGTCCTGCAGATATAAAAAACTTGGACTGTGGTGGGAATAATGCAATTAATTCCACGTACAAAGGAGTAGGTTTCAACCTGCTTGATACCTATATGACAACCTTCTCCTTTTAGCTGGGAGAAGCTGAGAAGGGAGCATCAGAGTCTGGCTCAGGAACAGTCTCTCAGATGGCTGCAAGAAGACCCATGAGAGATTTCATTGGATTGGGAGACTGTGATAAGACCACCCAGGATGCCATGCTGAACTTCAGCTACTATCTCACTGCTGGAGACATGGATGAGGCCTTCAAATCCATCAAGCTGATAAAAAGGTATCAGAACTATTTGCATCTATTTCTTCATTGGTGCAATTTATTTTTGTTAAAAGTTTGTATGAAGGGTAAATCTTCCTAGTTTTTCCCTCTCTGATTTCTTTCTCCCTTTCATTTTTAACCAGATGAAACATCTTTATCTCACATATATTTTAATGCATTCTCTGCTCATTCTTTGTCTGTAATATATTGTGGATTCTTTTTTGCTAAAAGAGGAAGAATTACTGATAACATGCAACTTTATGCTGTGTCTGAATGGCAAAAATGTCGTCACTAGAAGAAAATGAACATTCACCATTTTATTTATACATCTAAAATAATCACATCAATACTGAGTGTTACAGATTTACCAACCACATAGCTGATTTTTAAATTCACATGTATGTTATTATAATATGGATATTGCAATATTAGAGGAAATAATATAATATCTCTAAAGTACTCCAGTATTTTATTTTAAAAACCGCTGCATTTAATCATAACATATTATTTCTGGAATTTTTTTTTTTCCCCAGAAAATTAATGCAGGCAGATGAACACTAATCTTAGTTGGTTTTTATAAACCTACTGCTAGAAGAAGCTCTGTCAGCTTTATGGTATTTCCCCTGACAGTCTAGAGCAGTGCAGTTGTTCTAGAGCATCCGTCTCCGTGGAGTGTTGCTCATTTGGAACGTGGTGCAAAGCAGCAGTCGGGGTTGAGTTTCTTATCACATCCAAACTGAGTGCAGAACAGAACTCAAGAGCCAGCTTGATGATCACATTTTAACAAAGTGTGGAAATAGTGATAAAGAAGCAAAGCAGTCTACTCAGCTGAGAGCAACACAACAGTCCCAAGGAATTTGTAACATTCACAGCTCATGGTCCCTGAAACCTATCACTAATTGTGCTCAGAGCAGCATTCTGAGAGCACTTACACACCTGTCATTGCCTCAGGTTCCTGTATTCCACATATTCCTTTATGATAGTTTTTGACATGTTGTTTTTCTTTCTGAAAATTATATGGATATGACTTTTGTGAGGCCATGTGTTTCTCAGGGTAAGGCTTAGAAACATTATACCTAATTCTAAAGGCATTAATTTTTCACTTCATTATCGTATTATCAGGCAGGTTGTTTTTAAATCTCAGAGTCCTGAAGTCCTGTATCTTTGTCTTATTCTCCAGTCTGGGTGCTTGAGTGGCAGCTCTATTCTCCAATATTCCCTGTGTTATGTGGCTCTGAACATTGCTGGGCAGAGCTGGTGTCCTGTCATTGCATTCTAATGCCACAGCAAATGTTATAACTAGCTGAAGAGAAAATAAACCAATTTGGGCTGGAATATTTCTTTCTTATAATTCCCAACAATGTATTTTAATCATATATCTGATTATTGGGGAGTTCTGGTAGTCTCCTGTGGACATTTTCCCTCAATGTAATATTGAAACATTTTTTTCAGCAGCATGTTCTAGTTGCAAACCCTTCTCATTTTTAATGTCTGTTTATGCATAGGATGCTCGCAAACCTGTGTCTCAGGATACAAAAGAAATATCTGAAAAAGATGCAATTTAATTCTTCTGCAAACCCTTTCTTTACATAAGAATAGTTAGAGTTGCTTTTGCTTTTTACTTTCTGGTTTGGTCTGGGACTGGGAGCAGGTGTTGCAGCTAATGAGAATCCGTTTCTTGTAGAGAGGTGAAGAGAAGGACTAAAAGTCATGAAATTTAGACAGCTTTTAAACCCATCACTTAATCTATAGTGAGTTTTCTGTTTTTGCAGATTGCCTGTTAACTCCCAAGCTATTGTCATTGGTCTCCTATAGCTTTTTCTTTTATTTTTGAGGACCAGAAGAACTTGATGCAGACAGAGAAAATGTTTGGTTCCCTCTTTCCTGTATTCTCATTGCACACACTTGGTATCTTCTCCAGCTGACCCTGCTGCTATGCAGCCAGCCCAACAATTCTGTGCTGTACAGCAGAAGGAGAGTGCAATATAATATTTTATATATTTATATATATATATATAAAATTATATGTTTTATACATATGTATATAGATGGAGCCCATCTGAATAATGATCGAGGGCCTCTGCCCACACAAGTGAACATTGTAATGTCTTTCAACCCTTAAATTATAGCATATATTTATAGAAAATAACTCCAATGCAGATCTCCTTGGATATCTTCTGCCTTTCAAGTGTGCTCTTTCAGCATGGTGACTCAACATAGTCATTTTCTAAGCCCTGGCGAAAGCGAGCGGTCAGAGTGCGGCTGATGACGATGACACGGGGCGCCATGCAGTCCTCACGCCTGTGCAGGATGTTCCAGATTAGAATGGCAGCTGCCAGGGTGGCCAACAGGCAGGCTCCGATGTTCAGGTAGCAGGACCACGAGAGGTTGGTGTATGGTCCGATACGGTAGAATGTCACCAGTCCGATAACCAGAACAAAACCTGCAAACAGAATGGCAGAGTTATTTTAATGAGTTAATCTCTTGAATTTCTATAGTGGCAAAATGCCATAGAATCTCAACATTTACAGACTCACTCATAAGTCTTTAGAGCCTTTCCATCCCTATTATGATGTGCTGGGTGTGTTTTTGAAGGCATATTTGGGCCTTATGATACGTGAAGAGAGAGTGCCTTAAACAGAGGCTCAATATTAAGTTTTAATCTGTTCACTCTAATTTAAATTTTTTACACCCACTGACCTGTATTTCACTTTGGGTTTTTTCTCCCATGCATTTGAATCACTTACACAGCTGTCCTTTTTCTTACTCCTATTGATGATGATGATGATAATAATAAAAATAATAATAATAATTTCAATTTTTTTTCATAGTATATACTCTTATTCTGAAATTTTAGAATGTTTATTAAGGCAGGCAACTATGTAAACTGCAAAGATGATGAACAGCTAAATATCTTACAGAAATAATAAAAAGCAATGTACAGGAACTTTTAAAAAGGGAAGGTGAAATAAATGGAACTTTGTGGTCCTACTTTTTCCTGCTGGAAAAGGGTGTTATGAGGCAGAAGTAATGTCATGCCTCCAGAAGCTACTGAAGGCAAAGTTTCTGTTGTCCTCATAACTTTAAGCACAGTACTAAGTTCCCTAAAAGGTAGATAATATTAGAGTAATATCAATGCACTTGTCTAGCATGTCCATTTAGATCTCACAAAGTGATATGCAAAAACAAAACTAAAAAAAGGAAAAAATTCTCAATCTCTTTGGTGGTTACATTGCTGATGAATAATAGTAATGTTGTTTCAGAAGTGAGGTTGGGTAACTGTTCTAGACGTGCAGGAGACCCATGTTAGATCAAGGGGCAGTCTGCATCCCTTTACACCTTTTTATGTTACGTATGCCCATTTCTTGAAGAATGCATTGATAACCACATTATTAGTTTTCTGCCCTCTGTTTATTGTGTTATCAAAGAACCATACAATCCCAAGATGGCTTGAATTGGAAAGAACCTTAAAGCTCATTGCATTCCACTCCCTGCTGTGGGCAGGGACACCTCCCACTATCCCAAGTTTCCCTAAGGCCTGTCCAACCTGTCCTTGGACACTGCCAGGGATGGGGCAGCCACAGCTTCTCTGGGCACCCTGTGCCAGGGCCTGCCCACCCTCACAGGGAACAATTCCTTCCCAATATCCCATCTAACCCTGTCCTTTGGCAGTGGGAAGCCATTCCCTGTGTCGTCTCCTCCATCCCTTGTCCCCAGTCCCTCTCCAGGTCTCCTGGGGCCCCTTTAGTCACTGGAAGAGGCTCTGAGGTCTTCCTGGAGCCTTATCCTCTTCTCAAGGCTGAACATTCCCAGCTCTCCCAGCCTGACTTTGGAGCAGAGGGACTCCAGCCTAGTCTCTCTTCCTGTACCTGTTGTCAAACAAAACTACTTTTCACCTTTTTAAAAGAAATTAATGGATGTAATTAGATTGAAACAAACAAAAAGAGACAAACATGCTTCACTAACAAAAAAAACCCACTTCTTTGTTATCCTACACACTTCCTTAACTGCCACCATAACAAAGGAATGTCATTGCCAAAATAACCCCTTCATGAAGGAAGACTAGAATAAATAAATATCCATGAACTGCCAGAACATATCTGGACACCATCTTCCTAAGTTCATGGGCAAGGAGCAAGTCCCAACTGCTGCATGCTTTTTTCTCAGTTAGCCACAGTGCCTGTACCTAGAAACACTGTCCCTGTGGATACATGGCAATGGTGTGACCCCTGGCTCTGGTCCTTGGTTTTCCATGAAAGAGCACATCCTGAGTGTGCATTGTATCAAGTTTTTTTCTTCGAAGAGCACTGTAATGCAGTGAAGGTGGAAAAGACACAAGTTGCATACAGATAAAAAACACAGAGGAGGGAAATTACATACAAGTAGGAGAAAAAGATCAATCATCACTTAGAGGTGAGACACTTGTACTATTCTGAGAGTCAGTAAAGTGAAGGCTGAATGCGCCTCCTCCTAATATAAACACTGAATGAATATTCCTTCAGGAGCTGTCTGGCATCCTTGTCTTTCTTGTGTCTACCTAGAAGGTGCTTTGTAACAGTTGCTTGCTGCACCTTCTCCTCCTGAGGTGGCACTGTCCCACAGCTGGCATGTCCACAGAGGGTTTGGAGTGAGGCACTTCTCTGAAGACAAATAAGGAGAAATAGGTTCTTGTGGGAGGAGAAGCTCTTTACTGCTCTTTCCCCACTCTGATGTTAGAAAAGCCTAATGTACCCTGGATGGGTTTTAGGTTGTGGACACAGTAAGTCCTTGGTTTTGTCAGTAAATCTGGTAGTTATTTTATGGTTCAGCTTAATTATAAATAAACAAGTTTTATTTGGAGAGAACGTGGCCATGTGGAGCACATTGAGTTACAGAAATCACTGATCCATACAATAATGGTTTGCCATTGCAAATAAAATATTTTCCCTTCATTTCCAATGTCAGTCTCCAAGTTCAATTTGTCCTGAGGCACATGGTAGAGAAGAAGAGTGGGAGATTAGGTTCTGTTTTGTGAGTGACATCAGGTTTTTTAAACTTTCCTCTGAGATGGCTCTGTTCCCCGTCTGTAGAACCAGGATGATACAACTTCCTGTGTTTATTTTGTATTTCAGAGTATTGGGAGCAGAGCATGCTAGTTGTGATATGCTTATAAAGAATTTGGATGTTTACATCTTAATTTAGGTCTTATAAGGATGATACATGATGATACTGCTTTGCAATCCACTGTCCAATGGATGATAGATAGCCATTTTCTTATGAAGGTGGGAAATCAAGAAGAAAGGAAATGCTTGCACCTCCTGCAGTTGAGTTGACCAGCTTCATCTCCTTGTGATTTAAAATTGGCAGGAAGGGGAGTATTGATATAAATCAAGAAACCCATCTTACTTAGTCTGGCACACGAGAAGGCTTTGTGTAATCAGTTTTCCTTTTCAGTTTTCCTTTCAGAACTCATTTTAAATTCATACACACTTTCACAGGGAATCCATAAAGTGTTAATTTTTTTCTTAACTGTGAAGAAAGTCATAAAACCTTAAGCAGGTGGAATTTTGAACAGGAGCTGTTTGGACCAGTGACCACTCACAGGTGCCTCTAAGGGACAGTTATAAATATTAACAAGTGTCTACTTCCCACTATCTTGCAGTATTTTTTTGAGGCTCTCTTAGCAGAGGGACATAGGTTTAGGAATACCAGTTACACAGAGTAACACTGATGCTATGTTGTGTCTTGCAGCTTAATTCTCACTGTAGGAATATTTTCAATATTTAAAAGTTTTTCCAAATACCCAGCTTTTAATGAAATTATTTCACTTTGTCTTTCTTGCTTTTGAATTTGACAGGCAAATTACTGTCCTAAATAGCTTAATATTTCCGTGTTCTCTCTGATGGAGCAATTATCCACCAGGGAAAAGCACTAAGGCTTCCTTCCAGGTCCCCAAATAAAGCTATTTTTGCTAGAAGGACTATTTTCCTTCACAAGCCCTTTGCCTGAACCCTGCTCAGATGAGCAGCCAGTCATGCAAGAGGCTTTATCTCCTTTCCCAGTTCTGTGCCAATGGCTGAGTGGGGCAGAGGGACTGGATTTGAGAACTCCTCAAACTGACAGATTGCAGGATCCAGTTTCCAGAGCTCTTGAGTGAAAATGTGTATTCTGTTTCAGATCCTTTGCTGTAGTTTAGACAGGAACAGACATCAAGAACAGACAAACACATGACAGAGGCAACAGAGGTGGAAGCACATTACTGTTGAGTTTATACAATTAGTTTTACAGTTCTGCAAGAGTCACAGAACTCCAGAATAGAAATGTAACTGAGAAAGTTATTTCCCAGCATTCTTATTTCATATTAACATGGCTTGATATGGGAATTATAAATGTAGGAACTCCAGAGCAAAGGCTGAAGAAATCTTAATAATACAAAAAACCTGAGTTTGCATAGGATGGTGCATTTCAAATTTTGATGAATGCTGCTTTTGTGAAGGTGATGATATGTGAAAACCCCAAAGTTTGCTTGGATGGATTTTGTCTGTAACAGCTTAACCAAACTTCAGCTTCTTGAAGCAAAGTGTTCCAATGTGCTACATATGTTTTCCTTGCCCTTAGAAGAGTCTTGCTGTACACTGGCCAAGAACTGGGGTGGAACATTTAATCTGTTCTCTAAATGACTGGGCAAAACCACACAGTTCACGTATTTGTGCCATATAATAGTTAGAAGTATCCCTATAAAAATTAACCTTGTTGTAAGAATAGTCTCCAGAGCTGACTGTGGTGACTTTTACATTTTTAGACAGATATTTTTAACAATGTCTGAATTCAGTTTCAGTATTCTAATAAAACTCCTAGAGGAAAACAGTTGGCTTCTCAGACTATTTCTCATAAACAGCTCTACTAAAAATTACCAGAAAATTGCTCTCTTTACCATCAGTATTCCTGGGCTCACAGTGTGCAATACAGATTGACAAGGACTGCAGAAGGGACATGTTTCTTTAAATTTATTTATTAAAATATTGAACATTTTAATCCTGATTTTGTTTCTTTTCTATTTTGTAGTGATGACAGGACTTTGAGAGGCATGGCTCAATTTCCCTGAATGAATTTAAGTACATCAATCAATTTCAGATAATTTTGTTGTATATTGTCTTAAGACTGCACAGAGGCCACAACTTCACTAAAAATCCTGATGAGATTACTTGAAGTGCTTTTTTTTTCCCATAGAACTGCTGTTTATCTCTAGTTGTTTCCCATCTGCAGCCAAACAAGCTGGGAGGGGGGTGGCTTTTCCGCTGGGGAAGGAAATAGATAACGAAGTCACTCAGAAGACTTCTGGTTAGAACAGTATTGACTGTGGTAGTGGGGGTGGGTTGGGAGGACTTTTTGAACTTACATTTCAGATCTGCATGCTGGATTTCCTGTTTGACTGAGGCTGGCTGCAAGCCAGCTACAGAATTC